CACCTGAAAATCTGTGACGTAATGCGTTCACGGCTGATGACGTAATTCGTTCACAACGCTAAAACAGTTGTCGCGGTTTGCGTTCACCACGACAATCATACCACTTGTTTTCAAATGCTTATATCTCAAAAACCGTATGTTATAATCTTTTGAAAGTTGGGATATAATCAAAACATGCATTTATTTTTTAAATTGTACATTTGTTTATATTGTTTGTTTGTTTTTATAAAAGTTGTATATAATTTTGTTTAACATTTTGCTATTTTTTAGAAGGGATGTTATCTAAAAGTGGCCCATGTATTATTCCTCATAGATCATATCAAGAGCTATAAATAAACACTTGATATCTTCAGTGTCTAGATTTTCACAGCCTGAAATGTAAAATCTCAAATGTCGATAACAATTTGTTTTTAACACAAAATGCTACACAGAATGCATGAAACAAACTCCCCGTTAGCATAGCGCCTCTTCCTGGTTCACTTCCTGGTACGTAACGATGTCCAGGCGTACACGTTCCTACGGTGTGATATTAGCAGCTTAATGATGAAACCCGTGTCATGCCGACAATATTTTATTCTCGCCTATTTTTGTAATTTTTAGCTTAGTTTCTACATTCACAGTTCGGGCTAGTGAATAGTTTTGGGGGCTAGTAACTTTCAGGCATGGCTGGCCCGACTGGTTAGCAAAATTTGGAAACTATTTCGCACACTGCCTCAGTCTCGTGTAAATGAACGACATTTTACCATTGACCGACATTGTTGATTTGATATCTTTAAAACATATGTTACACCCGTGAAGAACGGGTTAGAATTGGTCTTCAGCAACCCATGCTAGTTGTAAGAGGCGACTATCGAGGTAGGGTGGTTAAGCTCGCTGACTTGGTTGACACATGTCATCGAATCCCAATTGCGTAGATGTTGATCACTGGATTGTCTGGTCTGGTCCAGAATCGGTTATTTACAGACCGCCGCCATATATCTGGAATATTGCTGCGTGCGGTGTGAAACAGCAAACCAACAAAATAACGTATGTCAATCGATCTTCGTAGGTGTGAAAATATAATGACAGTAGGCCTACCTACTATTCGATTTAATGCGTTGCCATTACAAGTAAAATCTTCAATTAGAGTCATACGTCGAATTTTACACACATTTAAACGTTTTAGAATCATTAATCTCTTAATTAACTTTTTACCCAAATCAAATTTGTGTTGATAATTGCATTTAAAATGCACCTTTAAAATGCGATCACTTAATGTACGCTGTAGTTCTGGTTTCATAACTGGTGTGTATTTTCTACGTAGTCACACGATTGTTAGAACTGAGGCCCCGGCTGGTTTTATAATGTAACACTAACACATCTTCACTTGAAAGGACATGAGTCCCTCAGGATGGAACACCGGTATCTGGGGCAGTCCATGCTATTGATTTGCAAAGCTAGATAATTTAGTCCCCGCTGAACCGTTAATCACCGTTACCATGCATTCTATGCCTACACTTGATTGAGGGGAGGCCTTGATCGGTGTCTCATTTGCACCTATATACAGGTACAACTCGGACCCTGGCAGTGTTGTATGGGAGGGGTGTTAGGTCACCCAAGGTCTGCGTTCCGGATGTGCCGGAATTCCTGCACGGAGCTATGATTGGAACTTACGTGCGTCTTGTCCATGAATCCGCTGTCAACTAGCAGGTGTGGGTTGAATGGCTGCCTATAGAATTGGTAGGTGGGTGTTGAGAAACTCGTTACATGTCAGCTCTTAACATTTTGTATAGAGATTCATTTACCCAGGTGTATATTTCCTGTTGTTGACAGGTATACGTCAGTTATAGATCCTGGTCATTAGCGGTATAACGAGGCAGGATATACTTTTCGGTATTCTGATGTTGTGCGCGTATTTTTGTCTTTATCCTATATTTGTCTTTGGAGGTTTACCTGGGCCCTGATCATGGACGATCATACTTAGACTTTATTTGGTTGTGTATGACATATTTATCATATGCGGGCAACTTGACGTATAGTATGAGAGATAATATGACATTAATGGACGTTTACGCCGCTTTGAGATTACTAATTGATAAAAAGCATTCTAATGCTCTGGAGCGGTTTCGTTACAGTCGTTTTGATGAAACTGTCTTGTGCGCCAGTTGTCTCCCTTGGTTGATCAGATCGACGTCTGGCTGACTGACTGAGTTTGGTTTTACGCCGCTTTTAGCAATATTCCAGCAACATCACGGCGGGGGACACCAGATATGGGCTTCACACATTGTACCCATGTGGGGATTCGAACCCGGGTCTTCGGCGTGACGAGCCAACGCTTTAACCATTAGGCTACCCCACCGCCCCTCGACGTCTTGAATCAACCTTATTTTTCTGTCCATATCGTGATTGTAATCAGTTAACTTATCACTGTGAAACGTTAAAGGTTTGTGCCACAATACTCTCTTCTTCCAGCTTCCCACTTGCCTGGCGATGGCGTAGCTTAGCCTAGTCGTAAAGCGTTCTCTCGTCATAAAAGCTCATTTTAAATAATGCAGTTATTTGTTTCCATGAGACGGTAGTCTAGTTAGACAGTGGAAGAAGACGACTCGCTTCCTCGATACCGATCCAGAGTGAACAAGTTCACCTGTCACATTTGTACCGTGAGCATGTCATCATGCTCCGACGCCGGGAGGTGGGTTATGTTAGTGGTTAAAGCGTTCGCTCGTCACGCCGAAGATCCGGGTTCGATTCCTCACATAGATACAATGTGTGAAGCCCATTTCTTGTGTCCCCGTCGTGATATTACTGAAATATTGCTAAAAGCGGCGTAAAACTAATCTCACTCACTCACTCCCACGTGTCCATTTTACGCAGCCGTTCCGTGACGTGCATATCCATGCATGATATCAGCTTGCGAGAACAACTTTCAGTTTGATTTCCACTGAAATGTGCAGACACGTTTCAGTATAATTTTCGAATTTTACCCGACCGTGTTCCCGTGCACTTCATAGATATCTACCCGTGAAGGTCCGGGTTAGAATGCGCCTTCAGTAACCCATGCTTGTCGTAAGAGGCGACTAACAGGATCGGGTGGTCAGGCTCCCTGACGTGGTTGACATGTGTCATCGATTACCAATTGCGCAGATCGATGCTCATGCTGTTAATCACAGGACTGCCTGGTCCATACTCAATTATTTACAGACCGCTACCATATAGATGGAATATTGCTGAGTGCGGCGTAAAACTAAACTCACTCGCTCATAGATATCTCTTGCACGAAATTAAAAAATCCCTATGCAATCATATAACTTGGTTTCCAAATAATATCCTCCAAAATGAGGTATCCCCTACTATATTTTAACAGTATAGGTATATCCATTACGATGTGATAAATTTCCTGAACCTTTTACCGTCACAGCTTCTTAGCCGTGTCCGAAATATAACAATGACGTCAGATAAGTCACGAACGCGAGACATCCTGTACTGAGTTAGTGAAAAGATCGAAACAGATTGTGACGTCATGTGTGAACTAAAGCCTCGATGGGTCCAGGTTATATGACAATGAAGCAGAGACAAGACAATAGTAACTTTATGCGTTTTCATATGAACCAGCAAACAATCAGTTGTGTGCGTGCTCATCTGTGGCTAGGATACCTGACACCAAAGCGAAACGCTTGATTTAAAGGGTAAAAATCTGTAAACGGTTTTAAATTCTGTCACTTATAAAATATTAATTAACACTTCATCAAAACGAATCCAAAAGAGGTTATAGTGCTGAAGTCATAGCCTCTGACACATGAACACCAGCTGGACATATGGGTTCGAATCCCTAATTACGTTCCTAGGTTTGTCAGCACCATCCCAGATAGCATTCGGACGTTGGCCCAAACCATTGTCAACGTTGGGCCAACGTCTGAATGCTATCTGGGATACAGAGTGTAGTACCGAAATACTAACAGTTAATGCCCACGTTTCAAAGAGTTAATATCATGTTATGAGACCGTTCCATAATTTATGGCTAGAGGGTGATGATGATTCTAGAGTGGGGGTGGGGGTTGTCACCCACTTTGTTCTGGGGAGGTAGAGAGGTCATCAATTTTCCTAGGGGGGTCTTCATTGATTTTGTACATGACATGCGAGGGACACTCACTTTGTACATTTACTCTAGATGGTGGGTGATGGGTGTGTTATTCACATTATACAGGCTCCATAAATACCATCATTTTCTCTCTCCCCCCACCAGCATAAATAATGAACGGTCCCTGTTGAATAGACTGTTTTCATACCGTTCAGTTAAAACAGATTGTTCTTACCCGCTTAAAACTAAAAGATGAAGATGTCGGCTTGTCTCAGATTAAAACGTGTGGGTCAAGGGTGAGCAATAATGCCTTACTTAAACTTTTATCAACATATATATTTCTACACGGAATGTTTATTTCAGTTCCAGTCAAGTGTCCCTTGAATTGAATTTCTCCTGTAAAATGTCTTTCATTTACTATTGGAGTCCATGACAGAAACAAAAACAAAGACGTTGGTCGTCATAAACGTGACTGTCAGTGATGATCTTCTAGTTTCGGCCTACCTTTAGAATACAGCACCACAAAGAAAGACCATTATACCGAGGGACAGGCCTCAGCAGTACTTTATCATTAACCATTACTGTCGCGATAATATGGTCTCTGCCACAAACAATACCTAATGACGTAATTTGTGAAACTCTGTTACCAAAACAATGCTCTTTGACGTCAGACTGTCGCTGGGTTATCGAGCGTGCCAAAGCTCTTCTCCAAACACAAACAGTACATAATCATTTGTTGTTGTTTTTCATTCGAAAAGGAGACTTGAATTTTTATCTAAAACTATAAAACATATAATTTTCAAAAATGAATACATTTCAAGATCGATGGGATATCTTAAAGTATGTTAAAGGTCACTCGGACATGCATGCGTCTTCCGCGATGCCTAGTGAAGGGCAGGTAACTCTCGTTGGCGGAAGTTGCTTCCGACCACTACGTGGGTGAAGGTCGTTTACGGGAGGCTTTTGGATTTGTTGATGTTTTTGTCAGAAATGCCTCCCTAACTGTCTCTTGGTCGTAGTTTCATATAAGGTAGGGACTTATTCTGTTAGTGATTACGTTTCTGTACACCAGGTAAGAAAGGTCTTTGTTAGATGTTGAACTCATTAACCTATGTTCATAAACGACCACAAAAAAATAACCCCTTCAGTGTTAAAGAAAAGCGAACCAGGGAGCATAATTCTGTCAGATTGTTGTAATTTTGTTCTGGACCCGCTATCGTAAGAATTACGACAGCCTCGGACAGGAACCCTGTCTGTAAGATTCGCGTCACTTATGAATACCGCAGACGTTATATTGAACTCAGTAACCACGGAAGGTAATGGTAGTAACATTCTGAAATAAGTAAACAGAAAAATCACATTTCCCTTTTTTCTTCAGTGTAAAAGAAAAATATTGAATTACGTTCGTGCTTGTGACAACTATCCACTAAGTATGTATATATGGTAAAACACATTAACTCGAAAAACGTTTACTTTTCTATTAAGAACCTCAACCTGCAAACAGTGTTTTAAACATGTGGAGAGCGGAAGGTCGCGGGTTCGATCCCCGACCGCGTCATATCATATGAGCGAAATATTCTCAAACAGGACGTAAAACCCAATTTCACCTCACCTCACCTTTAAACATGCTTAAAGAGTAATCATAGTTGGACTCTATTATCGCGGGCTCTCTATTATTGCAGCACATGAAAACATCGGGAAAGCAGAAACACCATGCTGGGCATCATCAGTTTACATAGGCAAATTACGTATAAACATTCATCTCTCTTGAAAAAGTGATTTATTTCATTGGAATGTCATGTCTAATCATAGAAACATTAAAGTATTCATCATTTCAGTAAGTTCTGGAACATTTTGAAACTAGTATCACCCCTACTGCCATTACATCTAGCATGAATCAAAACTTACTTTGTCAAGAGTAATCCTGCAACAACTATATGGTCATTTGCATATTTTCTGTCCTAAAACTATAGCAGGAAGTGAGCTATTATGCAGCTTCACCCTGCACAGAATGGCAAATTGTATGGTATCGGTCCGTCTATTCTCGCGGTAAACACGTTTTCTGCTGAAATCACTGATGCCGAAAACTTAGTGGTTGTTTACATCACCGACTGGTAACCAGGAAGTGGACCAAGTCTGTGAGTAATCAAAATCTTGCAGTGTCACGAATATTGGGGAGTTTATACCAACTTGGACATATCATTACTTTTTCCCGCCTTTTCCGCAGGATTGCTCTTACATACCGGTACTCTCAATAACGTTAATTCCTGGTAATACCGCGAGAATGGGAGAAGCCTCATTTCGTCAATGGCGGATGGCATTGTTTATCACCGGGCTCACGAGTGGTAATTCACCTGATGGATCTGGCAGCTGATCGATGTAGATGTTAGAAGAAGGCCCTTCATTTAAAAACAACAAGCATTAATACGATAAGAATTGTTTGTGTTATTTCTTCAGCCGATATCTGTAAGAACCGCGAGAATAGGAAATGCCTTCCTACTTTTTAAGGCAGCAAAAAAATTTTGTTATGTTATTGTTACCTTGTATCCAAATGAATAGAAGTTTCAGATATTTGGTTGAAAACATGATGATATGGATGATATACTAATCTGAATGAAATTCCTAAATAATTTTTTCATGTTAAAACTATTTAGATTTGTCACTTGTTTTGACAGTGTCATTTGCTTGTACCATGTACCATAGTAAGAAAATAGCAATACAGCGATAATAAAGAGTTGCATCAATTTCTTGGTCAAACAAGGCAATTAGGATTGCCACGATAGTTAAACGAGTTGCAACTATGTGGCACATTATCTGTGACGGAAATAAAGATTAAACATCAGTCAACTGAAAATATATATAAAATACCATATGTCAGTAGGTGTTCATAATCCTGATAGCAACAACATTAACTACCATGATAATAGAGGGTGACATGATACATCACAAACACATAAGAATTATAACCACTGAACTTATCCTTGGCTTATTCTGCAAGAGAAATTTCTTAAACCTTGGGTGCAACACCAGACATTTTTCTTGTTTGTGAACAATATTCTTATTCTGAAATATGAACAGACGATACAACTGTAAAAGCAACGATAACAGGATATCTGACTGAACTGGGAAATGGTATTTTGTAACTCATCCATAAGAAAAACCTCAGGTTTGCTCAGTTTTCCTTTAATAGATAAAAACATGGCCAAAGTCATATTTTCTGTGCAGTGCTTTGGTTGTCTGCTTTGCTGTGGGGAGGTCTATTGTTTTGGTTTGAGAATTGATGTCACGCTTGGAAATTGTTTCATATGTGATTAGAAACACCAAGAGCCATCCTTTAATAAGACATAACATTATTAGGACGTCCACAAAAACACAAACAATCCTGAAATTCTACCACTGTTTTATATTAGGCAAATTAATTGAGGCTAGTAAGATGGTGCAAATTTTGATCCCCAAGAAGTGTGATGTAAATGACAAGTTACTGCATGTCTAGATGCATCATTGGCATTGGTTTCATACTGCATTTCTAAGGCAACCAAATTGTTCAGATCCATACTCTTTACTTGGGATACAAGACCTTCAGGCCCTGAGTGAAGGCACTGAAGTACTGTTGGAAATTGAAAAAAAACTGTTTTAGGGTGTTACTCTGTATCCCTAAAATTGACAAATTTACAAATAGCATATATCGAAATAACCCACATCGGCCTAACTGGGCATTCTGTGGGATGCGTGATAGTATATCCAGAAAAGCATGTTTATTCGTAAAATCGAGCAAAAATTATGACTAGCTGCTCAAAACAATAGATCGGACTATAGATGGCAATTAGGTCACTCAGCCAGGTATGACGACAAACCGTCGACTCACCTGTCATGAAATGCATGTCCTGCCTACAAGCACAAGGGGTCATCTCAAAGATGTTTTGTGTTTTTTCATGTCTCATCTATTGATCATAAAGTTTATGTTGAGATACATAAAGGGTATGATACCCATGGAAAAGCTTAAATCAGACATTGTTTAAATGTCTCAAAATATATAGGTGGCATGACCACCCGAAGATCGACAGGACTGGAGATTATTTGTAAATTGTTATGACATGCCATTTGCTTCCCAGTTTAATTCCCTAAAGGATTATCTTATCTCAGCTTATATCTCTATCCCCAAGCCCGACCCCAACCACCGTCTGCAACACCCGTCCTGGATTTGCTTTTGAGACAACCCCTCCTACCTGTTTCTTTTTATAGCGGTAGTGAGACTCCATGGTAGCTACATCCTTCATAGTTTCAGTATTAAAGTTATTATTTTTTACGTCACTATCGTTTTTAATGAAGCTAAGTTTAATTATCGTTTTTAATGAAGCTAAGTTTAATTTCAAAATGGACATTTAAAAATTGTCCTTTGTAATATAATATCATCGAACACTAATTTGCATAAAGTCATGGTCTGTTCCAAATAAGTCCCTTTGGACTTAGAAAATACCCGCATTTTCTCATTTCTGCACTAATCTCTCCTCAGTAAAGTCCTTTTTCTACCTTTCCCATCTCCCTACCACTGAAACTGTAGTTAGGCCAAACTTAGTTTAACAGATATTTCACACTTACACATATTAACTACATAAATTGTACATATCAATGCGAAAAAACAGTTTTTTTCTATTTCCGACAGTACTTTAGCTGGGTTTTAAACATTACAACAGCCATGAGCAAGCAGACTAATATACAATTACAAAGGTTATGAAATTCATATCATTTGACTGCCCCAGCATGATTTTTTTCCCTTTTACTTATTTTAGCCCTTTGTTTTAATGTTTATCTATTAGCACAAACTGTATCATATTTATAAATGAAGCAGCCTGATCAGGGATGCCAAGGCAACTAGTCTGTGAAGTCTAGTACCAACCTAGACAGATGAGTCATTTTGTCCTGAGATAGTTATTTACACAAGCACTTGTCTGAAATGAACTGATTGATATAACTAACTGTGTCAACCACTGATTACACAGATATTATTATTTCAATTAGCAGAATACACTAAACACAATTTTAAGGCAATACACTTTCTTAACAAATCTTTTCCTTTTTTGATGGAGGCCCATCTGTGGTTTGAACACACACTCTAGATTGAGGTACCTATTATCTTTATTGATTCAATTCTCACCAAACATGCTTACCTTTTACATCTAAGACTGTAACTGCCAGTTGTCTTGTGGTCTGGGTTGACCGTGATTAAGATCCTAATCAAGGGGGGTTGGCTATTGTGCGAAACATACCATTTTGATACTGATTTTAAGGGTCAAGTTAGGGGGTCGACTTATCTATGAGATGGGCCTATCTACAGTAATATACAGTAAATGGGAGCACACTAGCAATTAATATATTTACTCTTGAACCACCATAATTGGGTGCCCAAGCATAGTGCTGCAAGAATTTGTTCCAAGAATTGTTGATTGGCCAAGATGGTCCCAGGGTGCTTCAGTTCACTCTTCAGAGTTGCATCCCTTACCATACCAGGATCTAAATTCCTTCATCGATGGAACTCTTGTTTCTTGATTTGTCAGTACCATGTCCATACTGATCAGCTTAACATTAGTTATCCAAGTCTTTGATGTCTTTTGATTTCCTTCTAGACCTTAAGTAAAACTGGTTAATTAAACCAAAAAGCACTAAAACATATGATTTATACTCCAGCTCAGTATTGATTCTTTTCAGATTCCATTATGTCTGTGACGTACAAAAACAGTGATTCAAGTGGTGAACGGAAGCCAGTCACAGAATTTAAATGTGACTTGACGATCTACAGGCAATGTGAAGATGGCTCCTGTATATCAAAGGTCGAGCTCTGTCGTAAGTAGAGGTGTTGCAATTCTCTGGAAAACGATTGTGAATACATTGTTAATGCTAATACATATTGTAGAAATGCAACTGTCCTGTCTATTGAACAAATCAAGCTGTGAAAATGGGGATGTTGAGATTCATCAGGAAATGATTGTGACCTAATGAGGGATTGTTCCTGTATATGTCAAGCTCTGTTTTAAATAGGGTTGTTGTGATTTACTGGAAAATATTTATTAGCTGATAATTAACTGGTGTCACTGTACCTCGTCAGAGAGGGATGTTGCTCAAAGTATCAACTAATGATTTGTCCAGGCCAGACTTGATCATTGGCAGACTGTCATCGTATAGTTGCTCCCTCACAAACTCAAGTATACGTTTCAGTGACTTGTTTTCTTTCCAGGAAGGATTTTGAACTTTAGATTGAAACTTGCTCTTTCTTTCCAGCTGATGAACAGATTATGAACCAGAACACAATTCTCATCATGATTGTGGTCGGCATGGCTGTTGTCATTTTCCTCATCATCCTCTACTGCTTCCAACAGCGACAACGAGGAAATGGAAGATCTGGTATGATAATCCTTTGTACACATGTATCAGGGATGGCAATTTTCCGCTGATCCGCGGATTTCTGCCGATTTGTTTTCAAATTGATAAATTCTGTGAATCGTCTGAACCCCACATTCGATGACACAATATTAAGTTTCCAGCTGAAATTCGATTTTCCTGTTGCCATCCCTGATGTATGTTTGTACAAATACTGGAAAGTTGTTTCTCAAATATTGGTTACTATATATTTCAGTGGGTACTTTCCAGAATATGTATATTCATTGACTGTTCATTGATAGAAACTACACAGTGAAGATAGCCAGGGGTTTGGAAAATTGTCTGTTTTAAGAAAATATTGTACTTTCATGTGTTACATACATAATCGTTGACATCTCAAAATCTGCCAAGTTACTGGTTTAACTAATGGTCATCGTTATTATACTCTTTAATTGCAGGACGAAATGACCACTTTGAATCCATCAACGGTGAAGGCATGAGTGGTGATGGAGATAATGCCTCATTATTCATGCCTCCACCAACGTACGACGAGGTTGTCACCACCGATCTGTACCCAGCCACACCGCAGATGCTGAGAAATGTAAGTATGAAACTGCTACTTAGTCCGTGCACTTTCGTCTTTTCTGGAGCAGAACTTCACAACCGTTCACCTGTCAAAAGATTCAATGAAATATTCAATGAAGACCTTCTGACCAATCCACAGTCATGCTGATAGTAACATTGATTGATACGTGATAATGCGCTATGCAGTGACACATTGCCTTAGTACATAATGGCCATGGACTCCTAGATGAGCATCTGTGTGGAGGGTGATAGTTTGATGGTTAGATCCAAACAAACAAACAGTAGTAAGGTATTAAATAAGGAAAGTTGACTTGGAGTTGGTATACTGTGCATGAGTGGGATATCCATGTTAAAAGGGCGGTGGGGTAGCCTAGTGGTTAAGGCAATCGCTAGTCACACCGAAGACCCAGGTTCGATTCCCCACGTAGGTACAGTGTGTGAAGCCCATATTTTTCCTCATCCTGACTCATGATTATTGGTTATCTCCCTTCTCCTTCGACGGTCAAGTGGAAACCGTGAATCCTATTCAAATTCACTGAAGCGTCCGTACAATCACTCACCTCTGGTTACCTCCCTTGTTCCCGCCAAAACCGGTCGCACGTGACCTGAGACTACGAGGGGGTATAAAAAAATTCTAATTATCACATAGATGTATTCAGGGTAGAAACCTTATATTTTTTCTTATCCTGACTCATGCTTATTTGCTTGTCTTCTTCTTCTGGCGAACCTAGTGGAACATTATATCTCCCAATTGAAGTTCCTTCAATGAAATATAGTGATTTACACAAGTATTTGTCTGAAATGAACTGATTGATATAACTAACTGTGTCAACCACTGATTACACAGATATTATTATTTCAATTAGCAGAATACACTAAACACAATTTGAAGGCAATACACTTTCTTAACAAATCTTTTCCTTTTTTGATGGCGGCCCATCTGTGGTTTGAACACTCACTCTAGATTGAGGTACCTATTATCTTTATTGATTCAGTTCTCACCAAACATACTTACCTTTTACATCTAAGACAGTAACTGCCAGTTGTCTTGTGACCGTGATTAAGATCCTAATCAAGGGGGGTTGGCTGTTGTACGAAACATACCATTTTGATACTGATTTTAAGGGTCAAGTTAAGGGGTCGACTTATCTATGAGATGGGCCTATCTACAGTAATATACAGTAATTGGGAGCACACTAGCAATTAATATATTTACTCTTGAACCACCATAATTGGGTGCCCAAGCATAGTGCTGCAAGAGTTTGTTCCAAGAATTGTTGATTGGCCAAGATGGTCCCAGGGTGCTTCAGTTCACTCTTCAGAGTTGCATCCCTTACCATACCAGGATCTAAATTCCTTCATCAATGGAACTCTTGTTTCTTGATTTGTCAGTACCATGTCCATACTGATCAGCTTAACATTAGTTATCCAAGTCCTTGATGTCTTTTGATTTCCTTCTAGACCTTTAGTAAAACTGGTTAATTAAACCAAAAAGCAATAAAATGTATGATTTATACTCCAGCACAGTATTGATTCTTTTCAGATTCCATTATGTCTGTGACGTACAAAAACAGTGATTCAAGTGGTGAACGGAAGCCAGTCACAGAATTTAAATGTGACTTGACGATCTACAGGCAATGTGAAGATGGCTCCTGTATATCAAAGGTCGAGCTCTGTCGTAAGTAGAGGTGTTGCAATTCACTGGAAAACGATTGTGAATACATTGTTAATGCTAATACATATTGTAGAAATGGCACTGTCCTGTCTATTGAACAAATCAAGCTGTGAAAATGGGGATGTTGAGATTCATCAGGAAATGATTGTGACCTAATGAGGGATGTTCCTGTATATGTCAAGCTCTGTTTTAAATAGGGTTGTTGTGATTTACTGGAAAACATTTATTAGCTGATAATTAACTGGTGTCACTGTACCTCGTCAGAGAGGGATGTTGCTCAAAGTATCAACTAATGATTTGTCCAGGCCAGACTTGATCATTGGCAGACTGTCATCGTATAGTTGCTCACTCACAAACTCAAGTATACGTTTTAGTGACTTGTTTTCTTTCCAGGAAGGATTTTGAACTTTAGATTGAAACTTGCTCTTTCTTTCCAGCTGATGAACAGATTATGAACCAGAACACAATTCTCATCATGATTGTGGTCGGCATGGCTGTTGTCATTTTCCTCATCATCCTCTACTGCTTCCAACAGCGACAACGAGGAAATGGAAGATCTGGTATGATAATCCTTTGTACACATGTATCAGGGATGGAAATTTTCTGTTGATCCACGGATTTCTGCCGATTTGTTTTCAAATTGATAAATTTTGTGAATCGTCTGAACCCCACATTCGATGACACAATATTAAGTTTCCAGCTGAAATTCGATTTTCCTGTTGCCATCCCTAATGTATGTTTGTACAAATACTGGAAAGTTGTTTCTCAAATATTGGTTACTTTATATTTCAGTGGGTACTTTCCAGAATATGTATATTCATTGACTGTTCATTGATAGAAACTACACAGTGAAGATAGCCAGGGGTTTGGAAAATTGTCTGATTTAAGAAAATATTGTACTTGCATGTGTTACATACATAATAGTTGACATCTCAAAATCTGCCAAGCAACTAGTTTAACTAAATGGTCATCCTTATTATACTTTTTAATTGCAGGACGAAATGACCACTTTGAATCCATCAACGGTGAAGGCATGAGTGGTGATGGAGATAATGCCTCATTATTCATGCCTCCACCAACATACGACGAGGTTGTCACCACCGATCTGTACCCAGCCACACCGCAGATGCTGAGAAATGTAAGTATGAAACTGCTGCTTAGTCCGTGCACTTTCGTCTTTTCCGGAGCAGAACTTCACAACCGTTCACCTGTCAAAAGATTCAATGAAGACCTTCTGACCAATCCACAGTCATGCTGATAGTAACATTGATTGATACGTGATAATGCGCTATGCAGTGACACATTGCCTTAATACATAATGGCCATGGACTCCTAGATGAGCATCTGCGTGGAGGGTGATAGTTTGATGGTTAGATCCAAACAAACAAACAGTAGTAAGGTATGAAATAAGGAAAGTTGACTTGGAGTTGGTATACTGTGCATGAGTGGGATATCCATGTTAAAAGGGCGGTGGGGTAGCCTAGTGGTTAAGGCATTCACTAGTCACACCGAAGACCCAGATTGGATTCCCCACGTAGGTACAATGTGTGAAGCCAATATTTTTCCTCATCCTAACTCATGATTATTGCTTATCTCCCTTCTCCTTCGACGGTCAAGTGGAAACCGTGAATCCTATTCAAATTCACTGAAGCGTCCGTACAATCACTCACCTCTAGTTACCTCCCTTGTTCCCGCCAAAACCGGTCCCACGTGACCTGAGACTACGAGGGGGTATAAAAAATTTCTAATTATCACCAAGACGTATTCAGGGTAGAAGCCTTATACTTTTTCTTATCCTGACTCATGATCTTTTGCTTATCTCCCTTTCCCTTGCGAATGGTAGTGGAACACTTGAATCCCTTGAAGTTCCCATAGCAGACGTAAAAATACACTTACCCACGAGTTACCTCCGTTTTGCCCTTTTCACGCGCAAACAGTCATGTGACCAGCCTTACTTGTCACTCTCTCCCTTTTCACCCAAGTTGGGTTGGGCGGTTGGTTGGGCGAGCACTGGAGTCCCTTATACGGCATCTCACAAGTGAGGATTATGAGACTTTACAAGACACAACTTTTGAGTTCCTCACTCAAAAAACGATATTTCTCCTTGCCTTAGCAACAGCAGCTAGACTGACTGACTGAGTTTGGTTTTACGCCGCTTTTAGCAATATTCCAGCAACATCACGGCGGACAGCAGCTAGAATGTCAGAAATACATGCTCTTGACTTCGCACAAACGAGGTTCGACACAGGAGAGCATGCAGCAGTCCATTTAGGACTGAGATGGGATTTCATAGCAAAGAATCAACTTCCTGGTCAACCAGATCGTCAATTTCATGTACCAGCACTGTCGTCAGTCTTGGACATCAAGACATAGAGGATTTATCCTTATGTCCAGTAAGAGCTTTAAGAATCTACTTACAACGAACTACGTCAAGAAGGAGAAAGTTTAAACGTCTCTTCATCCCATTATCACCTGCCCCATCGATTGAGGTCTCACGAACCACAATATCTTTTTGGATTAGAGCAGTTATTTTGAGAGCCTACAAAACAGAAGGATAACCGCCGCCTACAGCATGTAATCCACACGAAATAAGAGCGTTAGCATCAACGCTCTCATTACATGGAAATTGCTCATTATCATCTATCATGGAAGGCTGTTTTTGGAGATCTGACACAGTGTTTGCTAATCACTATCTACGAGATATTGCGACAGAGGATGTATCAGGCATTCACCAGTTAGAACCACTAGTAGTGGCTCAACAACTCACAAATCCAACCAGACATTGAGAACTCACCCAAATCACGCTGACTTGTAGATGCTAGGCAACTGTCCCATTGCCACCAGCATAGAGTCCATGCCCACCTGACTTACTTGAGAAGTCAGAACATGAGTGATATAAACCTTGTTAAGTAATAGCCCTTAACTTAACTCATGGGTTGCGATACCAGTTTCGGTAATAGTCCTTACTTTAACATATGGATCGTTTGGAAAACCATCTAAACCACGGAAATCTATGAGATTTACTTTTCTTAATCAATTAAGAGTAGGTGGTCCCCCCTATATGACAAATTCACAAGGGAAGGCAACAACAGGATTTTACAGGGGTAAGCGTTTGAACTATATATAGACAGCAACAGCGAATCCAGTTAGGTGGCTGACCCACCACCTATTCCATCGGATTTCATAAGCAATAATCATGAGTCAGGATAAGGAAAAATATGTAATTTTTATGATAAAATTATTATTTTTATACTTATCCTGACTCATGAGGTAAGCCCTCCCGACCGTCCCCACTCTCAGCATTACGGTCTTCACTGCAAGTTGCAATGTGGGCATATTACGGAGAGAGTGATAAGAGCTAGTCTCAGGTCATGGGGGACCTGTTTAGGCGAGAACAAGGGAGGTAACTAGGAGTGAGTGATTGTACGGAGGCTTCAGTGAACTTGAATAGGATTCAAGGTTTCCACTTGACCGTCGAAGGAGAAGGGAGATAAGCAATAATCATGAGTCAGGATAAGTATAAAAATAATAATTTTATCATAAAACTTACATTTCTCATGTCCCCCGCCATGATATTGCTGGAATATTGCTAAAAGTGGCGTAAAACTAAACTCACTCTTTCAATCTTAAAACTGAGGTGGTACCATCTCGGTGGACTAGCACTATGAGGCCAGAACAAGAAGCCACGCACTCTTTAAGATACACACAATTTTCGTAGTTTGTTGATCATTTTTTGATAATGTGTTGAATGCTGCAGGATTAAAGTTCTTGCTCATGTAATAAAATTGAAAGTTACTAGCAAATACACAGTAATATAGAATCCAGTACTTTTGACACAATGGTGAAATGCAGGTGTATGTGGTTAGTTATGATGTGAGGGATTGTGTATCACTTCATGTCGCTTTTAACAAAATTCTAGTAATATCAAGGCCTGGGACACCAGAAATGGGCTTCACATGATATTGTACCCATGTGGGGAATGAAACCCAGGTCTTGACGAGTAAACACTTTAAAAAACTAGACATCAATGCCAATGTTCAATGTCAGTTGTGCTGTCAGGAAAGTGAGTAATATGATATGTACTTAATATTCTGATGACCGTTTCTTCTTCAGACGCGAATGTCTTCATCTGATGAGCCACCAATGACACCACCTCCGAATTACGAAGTTGCTCTTCACATATTGGCTCAAAGCCACGAATCTGTGTTAACGAACAAAGGGGGAAAGACCTTGCGGACTTCGCCGGTTGTCGACGTAGTGTGTCTATAGATCAGTTAGGGACACAATACACGCAACTGAGGGAGGGGTCCAGGTCACCCACCTGGAATGTAGAGGAAGAAAATAGGTAACAGAGAGAGAGGAAGAAAGTGTGATTTGGTAAAACTGTGTCTTTGCAAGGAAAATAGATTTACATTTGTTGAGATTTCTAGAAATATGCTACTCAACTTTTGATAAGGATAATAGGGTATGTTGTGCTATTTTAATTTACACAGATCAAGAGAATGGGTCTTTTGTATCATTGACAGATACAATTATCCCTATCAAAATAGGGTAGCAGCATGTAAATAAATCTTTCTAATGACTCACTGACACATTATGTACAGTCTGTGCCAAACAGTTTAGATTCTACTAGCCCCAAATGTGTATTTCTGTAAATTTTCAGTATATGTAGTCTTTGTACAGCAGAAGAATATTACAAGACTTAGGTTTTGGACAAGTGGTTCATGTCACAGACTGTATGTGTAACTGATGTAAATACTGCTGTGGAAGAGCCTTGTGTTGAAAGTGGGACATTGTGAGGGAGGGATCAGGAGGAATAGACAGATGTACATAATACCTCTAATTTGTGTAAGGCCAGACCAATTTTATTTCTTGTTTACGGATCCGCTGGTAGTATTTTTTTAAGAATAAGAAAATAAATAAAAAATTCCCCACTCAAACATAAAACCCTTATGTTTTTATTGGCCAAATATGTAAACTTACAAAAGAATATATTTTGATTGTTTTTTTACCCATATACACTTCATAAATAGCCAAAAATAAAATACTCTTAGTATTTAAAAGGAACATTACTTTGACTGGTGATTTTTATTTTTTATTTTTTTCCTACTGCCTTTAGGTTTTCTGAGGACAAAAATCCATAAAACAAGAAATAAAATTGGTCTGGCCTAATGCTTCAAAACAATAGAACAACCAGTTTCGTTGATGGGAATGCTTTGTTCATTGTATGCGATGTATAACTGATTGAAATAGTGCTATGTTGTTGTCATATGGGGGACAGTGTTTCACACAGCAGTATCACCTGTTGAAGGCTGAGATCTTCCATTGACTGTTTGACGAGGAACGAGTGGCATTGCTATGACTAGTAAGGTCACTGTTATTGTAACTAAAATGGATTGAATTTGTACCTAATCCCCAAGTAAACAAAACAATAAATGGCAGCATAAGTATAAATGGCAGCATAAGTTAGAGGCTGTATATAAAACTCACAACAGATGTCACTGTATAACAAAGAGCAACTTTATAGGACATAATACAGGAGGGAGTTACAAGCAAGAAACATAGCACTGGTGAAGTCGCATGAGAACTGCAGCCCGTTGCCAAGGAACTGTGGGCTACTGTGATGTAACAATTAGGGATGCCACGATACATTGATGCATTGATACTTTTTCTAAGACTATACAATTATCGATACATTCAAAACTGTATCGATATTTAGTTTTGAAAGTATTGGTTTAAATATGTTTATGTATTGTTTACATTTTGCAATTGTATCATGTTTGTTTGATGATATGAGAGTTATAAATGATTTTTTTTCATGCACAAAGATGGGAAATTAGAACTTTTTAATCTCTGAGAATAAAAAATGTTGATCTTTTCATGGACAATTACAAAATATGAAATATTAATGTTCAAAATGTAACTAAATTTTACGCAAGAATGACAGAAAAATAGGTATTGTGATACGTATCGAATCGTGCCATGGGTATCGTGATACGTATCGATTCATGACACGTAAGTATCTGTGACATCCCTAGTAACAGTGGCAACCAGTGTTGTCATAATATTGGGGATTCTTTATGAGAATTCTATCTACTTTAGCTATAACACAATGTGTAACTGCCGACCACAGCTGATGCCCTGGAATACACCCAGGTGGTTGTATATAGCTTATGCATAATAATATGAGCCAAAAGCACTTGTTTGTATTCATGGAGTTCAATATCATCTGTGCCTGTATATGTTTTGATATCCCAGCAAGATGACAATATTCTGTATATCATGTCTCCTGCCTGTGTGTGAACTAGGACAGTGATTAGATAATGCATTCATCAGTGTGGGCAATGGCTGCAGTAGTATTCATAGCTTGTAAATGGAGCCGATATATTGTGCAATGATGTACCATGTTGGATTGAGAGTTCATATGGTTTTTCTTTTACAATAACTTTTTTTCCAGTTATTTTGATAATTGACCCCTCAACATAATGTCTCTTTATTATTTTGTACTATATTTTTTCTTATCATAATTTCAAAGAATTTGTTGAGAATATATAAATGCTCCAGATATCATTCATATTTGTATGATGTGGCCAGTTAGATATTTGAATCAACTGTTAAACATGTTAAATGGCAAAGGTTTAATTTATTGTAAAAATCCCTGAATGTGAGTGTGTATGCTGTTTCTGTGTCTCTGATATTGAGCAATTTGTTGATTTAGTTTAGAATTGTATTGGAAGCAAAGATCTCCTTTTTGTATGTTTGGCAAAGATCTGATATAACAGATCTGCATGCTACTTCTAACATGTCTACCAGTTAATATAATTGCTGGATTGAACATCTGGATGTGTCTATAAGAATCTTTCCAATATGGCCAAATTAATTCCAGTTATTGAACCAGTCAGTCTAAGTAAACTTAGGCTCAGTATTATTCGTTATACTGCTAAACTGAGTCTAACAAACCCTTGTAGAAGGTCGTGTCAGCTAACCTTTTGGACTGACCAATCAGAACACAGCTTACTAAATCGCGAAAGTTAAAGGTCACATGCAACCAAAAAATCAAACATAATTAAAACACAATTATCACTTATTCATGACATTTAATATACATTGCTGATTATGAAAAAACATATAAACAAGATTATAAGCGTACAATCACAAACCAAAAGTGCAATAATTTTGTACTTGGGTTTACTTCCCAAGAAACGAAGCAGCCGGGATACCGAACCCAGACAGAGCAGGTGGGTGTGCACTCAAGTGTAACGCCTGGTTCATTTGCAGATGCCCTCACAGCTCATTGTGTGTGTATATATAGAGATGTTGGGTTTTGTAAATACATGCTCATTTTTTGTGTATAACATTTTGCAATCAACAGACATCATAACATGTCATGTGTACAAGTATCACACCTGCCTGTCTGTGTAATTACATAATGTGACAGAGACCGAACTCAGGCCATAAATCAATGCGTTTTGTTTATGGTGTATAGCCTGATAGGTGTTTAAGTTCAAATAGCATTTTTATCAATATTCAAGGATGTCATCTTGCGGAAATATAAGCTAATAGTAACCATGTCATTAGAAACCCCTAAGGGTTATATACTGCAGGTCAAATATCTGTGTTTTATGCGGATTTTCGTTTGTTGATAGATCAGTGTCAGCGACCAGGGAGAAAAATAAAAAAAACGTTTTGTAAGTCCCGCCGAACCCTAACAAGTAGTCGTTGTCTGATTGGTTAAATCCGCTCAGTCTTCTCGTGTTTGATTGGACGGTAATAGGTCGCTCAAAGGTTAGCTGACGCGACCTTCTACTAGGGTTTGTTAGACTCAGTGTAACGAATAATTCTGAGCCTAAGTTTACTTACACTGTGAACCAGGCAATGTATTGATTAAACGACTGGATGTGTCTATAAGAATCTTTCTAATATGGCTGAATTAATTCCAGTTATGCTTCACATAAGGCCCATCAATAGTAACTACAAAAACAGTATGTAAAATAACAGTAGTATCTGTGGCTGGATGTATATTTCTTTTTCATATCATATTTATATTTGTGTGAAACAGTTTTCTTTTCAGATTTTATATTTTTAGGAAATTAATCTTGAATTCCTGTGACATCTTTCACATAGTGACCAATATAAAATGTAAAACACAAGAAGAGTTGATCTGGCTGTATGGTCAAATAAGAGATAAAGAATTCACAAATGGAGCTGGGAAGTCATTTCATCCCCCAATGCCCTGATTGTAACAAGCCTTATCTCTATTTTTGTATGTTACCATGGCAACCACTTTACTGCCTACACCTGTGTGTGTAGTTTCGTATCTCACAAAGAATCATATTTTCATAAATCGGTGTGTTACTACTTGTTATTTTTATACAACAATCTCTGTTCTTATTTGAGATATGTCAAGGGATGCAATATCGTCAACTTATGATGTGAGCTTGTGTTGTTGTTTGTCATCTTTTGGGAAGGTGTTTCACTACTGTAAGACACAATTTAAATATTCGTAATACTGGGGAAATGTTTGTTTTAGAGGAACAATATACCCGGACTATGTGTCAGTACATGTATTTAACTATCAATGACCCTCAGCTTATCTAATAGTTTTGTTTTCCTTTTCTGTGTAATTTTGTTTTCTGTGAATTAGTATTTTACTTTGTAGAATAAGAGACCTTCCTACAATTTTTCCAATCCTCCCATGAACCTGTCCCTCACACATCGTGTGCCTGTTCCTGAATTATGTAGAACGAGACTCTGAGTGTGATATGTAGAAGCAAGTTTCAGCAGAGGTCTTGTAACATCTTCAGAAATCTTTTAAAATGATAGTTTTATGGCCGCATTTCTCTACAATCTTTCCATCTCTCGGGAGGTCTGGTTCAGTTTACTGAGGAGAGGAAGTACTTGGGTAGCCAGCACTATACTCCTTGTGGTTGGTTGATTGCAAAGTTTGCTTCACATAGGATGTAAGTTCTAATCTTTGTCGCTTGATTACAACATGTCAGAGACTTCTGAAACTCTATCACTTTGAAAACCCACCCTTCATAAACATTGCCTTTTTTAAGGATCTTCAGATTTCAACTCCATCTTTGCTGATAACTTGGAAAAGTGTCATGCCCAAATATTTCTGATGAACACAGCATTGTCAAATCGTTTCCCTGTTTCTAAAGTATTATAATTCACCATGCAGAGTTGTGTCCCTTTGTGATACCAGGATGTATGGTCATGGGTTCGAATCCCAGATTTGCTGGATTCTGGTCCTTGTTCAGTTATCACCAGACAGATGTTCATTGGTTTCAGCCAAAATGTCTTGGACCTTTGTTACCTTGGACTTTCTAGTGATTTTTGACCTTTACTAACTTAACCACATGCTTCCTGTTATTCCCACATGTTCAACTGTTAAAAGCATTGTTGCTTTCTGTTGTGGTAGATATTGTCAACGTATTACCGTGATTCAAATTTGTTTATGTGTGTATAACTTTATCTCCATTAATCAGTTAATCTTGTTCATTAAGTACCTCTTTGATGCAAATGTTATGTCTCAGATTACCTGAAACATTTCAGAATTCTTTGGGACCAAAGTTGTAGTGATATTTAGAAACTGATTCAATCCTGACTGCTATATAGCGATGGATTTGATGGCCATTTGTTAAGTTTGATTGCAGTTGTGAAGAAAGTAAAATGATTTGCAAAATTTATGACTAACTGTAGATATCATCCGGTTGTAATCTTTTTGAATTTATCTCCTAAATTTGATACATTGATGCTGACGTCTGTTTCACCACAGCCTGCTGTGAATGGTTAGTGAAGAGTTGCTTCCCTTGTCCCTGATAGCACTATTTGGAATAAGAACCTATCATGACTATTCGAGGTCAGTCACAACAGTATTT